TAACTAGTTGCTAAGAACTATTTTACTAGCTTGGATGTTCATTTGTTTGCTTTATCCATTTCTTCATTGTTATTTATAAAATGATACCTTACCTTTTTCCAGTTCTTCCGCCACCTTTTGTATTCTCATCATGAAAATCCATACCACTATATTGGTCTATTGTACTTCCACTCATGATCTCCATGTGGTCCGCATTCTTCGCATTAGATTTAACCTCTTTTCGCAAGAGTTCGACTTCCTTTTCGTATTCTTCTTTCTGCTTTTTATTCTGAATGGCAGCGTCGCGAACCTCTATAATTTTAGAGTCTATGGCCGCCAAGATTTCCTCTGATGTTCGAGACCTAGAAAATAAAATTTCATAGGGGATAGTGTTAATAACGCATCAATTTCCAATTATTTCTGACCATTTACTTACCAGTCACTCAATACCTGCAACATTTGATCAATTTGACCTGGTCGCAAATCTCTACCCATTGTATACTCGATTTCAAGTTGTTTTCTCTTTTGGTCCAATTTACCTTTGATGACATCCTGGTAGATCGCCTCAATAATTAAATCTTCGAGTTCACGAACGTTGGGTATGTCGAGGTATTCCAAAAGTATATCATAAGGGATTGTCTAAGTTAATTGTATAATATATGCGTTCATGTGATCAATGAAGAATTATCATTCCAGTTTAGTATGCAGAAATGACGGATGAAATTACAAACTCTCGATTCTTCGGATAAAGATACGATCGATAAATATTTTAATTTGTTGAGTTGGTTCTGGTCTAACGGAGGCAATGTAGATGCATTTTCTACAAAATTCACGGGAAGGCGGTAGAGTGAGATTTAGAGGCTAAGGTATCGAGATAAGAACAAAAGGACTTACCTTTGTAATCTTTATATGTTCCATAAGAAAATAGTCGTAGCAATCTATGATATGGTTGATATTGTTCATTATTTTCAAGCTGTAAAAAATATATACAAAAAGAATTTGGTTAAAATGTAAAAGGAAGGATTTTTTGTTTAACGAGTAAAAATATCGATCATCCAATAGCTTGGCGCCTACTTAATATAACAGCGCGTTTGAGAAGCATTTTACTCTTCAAGAAAGTTAAACTACGTATTACAAATCTGCATAAATCTTCAGCATTCCTACCTCGGCAACATTGGGCATTGCCAGAAGCTCAGCAAACACATAAACTCCAGACGCGGACAGAGCATCTTTGATCAACTGAACGCATGCCCCACCCTTGGCCGATTTGGAAAGCAGAATAAAAGGTTCTAAGCGTTGGCGAGCAGTTGAACCCAAAATAGTTTCTGCCATTGTTGAAAGAAGCCTACGCACTATCGCTACCACGAATTATTGCAAACGTGACTTTAGAAAAATCTAGATCACATGTTTTAAATGGACGAATAAACTATGTTTTAGTTGTTGACGCGAAGATCTGTTATTTTTATGGTGATACAATTGTTTGTCACGTGATACACGAAGTTAAATAAACACCGAGATGGCTCCTAATGTTCCTTCTCTTTTGATTGCAATCTTGAAGGTGTGTTTAAATTTTTAAGAAATAATGCCGATCACAAATTCGCAAAGGAACGCGAATTGTGTTCTTAGTGTTCTTCTATAAGCTTAAGTGAAGATCGACATTAATTATGCAAACAGATCTTTATTTTATTTTTTTTTTTTAAAAAAAAAAAAAAAAAAAACGGACAATAAATTTTGTGGCCACATAACTTTAGAACTCACTCTTTTTTCCTTATTTTCTAAACTTCCGCTACACAGTTTTTCTTTAAGCGCAATGGGTATGAAGTTCAATTCATTTAATTTAGTTCAACGTTTTCAGACATTTGAACTGAACGATATTTATTTTCTAGCAAAAAGCAAAAATCATACTAATCACAACCAAAGTACGTATATATTTAATGAAAATAAATATCCTTTGTGAGAATTCTGATTTCTTTTTTCACATTAGATCGCAAGGCTCACCGCAACGGTATTAAGAAGCCTAGGACCTATCGATATCCTTCTTTAAAAGGAGTAAGTTATTAGCTTTTTATAGGATCACCATTGTTGCCATTACCAACCATTTTATTTAAATATTATGAAGGTCGACCCTAAATTTCTTCGTAATCAGCGATATGCCAAAAAGGTACGCATATAATTATATGATGCAATACATCTATCTGCATTTCCTGGTACTCGATATTCTAATTTCCTACTACTTTCGTCTATAAAAGGGTACTATCAAAGCTCTTAAAGCTGCCGCTGAAGTAGCTTAAGTAAATATTTTTGTCTCGGAGTAATAAAATATGTACTCTGAAAATTGAATTCACCATCGGTCATTTAATAAATATTGGAATTCATTAAACCGAATGTTTTAATAAATGCAACAAAAGAATTAATTAATTCAAGTAAATTTTAACGTGTATTATAATTAAAATTAATTCTATAATAAAAGAAATACTGTGTTGCAAATTTTTGAAATTATTTATTTCAAATACTATTTAATATAAAAATTTTTGTGGATTACTTTAATTACCCTTTCAAAGCAATATTTGTCAAAAGTTTATACTTTCTAAAGTTATAATAATAATTAATAAGCATGCATGCCATACATTATTGATTACAATTTTTTCATCAGTATACATGAAAGGTTTATATATTTATTATTATGTTTAGATTAATCATATTTATCATCTATTTAACTTAGCGATGCTTCTTTTTTACTTTTGATAGTAACTAACATCTTACGAAGATCTATAGAAGAATAATTCCTATTACTAGTTTAAACTACTTAACCTAAATCGATCTAAGTTCAATTGCATTACTATAGAAATATAATATACTTACAAGGATTGTTAAAGCTATTATATTTTAATACTTTTTATATAGAATCTTAAATAAGTATTAATATTTTGTTATTATCTGTAGTTTTTGTATAAAATATTCTTTTGTTTGAGTAAATATTGAATTGATATATTTTTATACTAGATAATTCTAGATTTTCAGAAATTATTTAATTACTATTCTAATTATTACTATAATTTTAAAAACAAAAAAAAAATTTTTTTTTAATTGTCAATAGGTAGCTCAATTGAAATCTCTACAGATAGTCAAGCCTATATCTCAAAGTAAAAAATAGTTGAAAAAGATGATCCAAAAAGAACACATAAAAGATGGCTAAAGGATACAAACTAATTATTATGGATATAAATGGCAGAACTAATAAAAAAAAAAGATTTAGATTTAAAGCTTATCAAAATCAAGGCATACTCTTGAGACTTCCATAATGATAAAGCAGATGCCCTAGCCAAAAATACTTTGGTGATAGAATGAAAAAATCTCACCTCATATAAAATTTCTACAGAAATTAAGTAGCAGAACAAAACTTTAGATGATCCCATAAGACAATTCATCAAGAATATAAATAATAAAACTACAGCATATCAATAAATATTATAAAATAGAACAGAAAAGAAATAGAGTCACCAAATTCAAAAACAACAAGGTCATACATAGGATCTAATATGAAAGAGAATAAATAGTCATACATAGAATAAATCTTTCAAAGATTCTCAAAGAAAAAGTTTCCTTATCAAGCTGATAAATGATAAGCTATCAATACTAAGTAAACTGATAATAAGAAGGTTAGACCTATACAAGAAAGTAAAATGTACTATATGTGATCTTTAAAAGAAAGAAACAATTAATTATTTACTAGAATATCCAATATACAAGAAACAGATGATGAAGATATGGAATAAAGGTTTTAAAGAAGTTTTGACAAATTTTAGAAAATTTTTGCAAGAAAGAAAAAAAAAAGTAGAAAAGAAGAATACTAGATTAATAATAAATAACAATGAAGAAATGGATAAAGCAAACAAATGAACATCCAAGCTAGTAAAATAGTTCTTAGCAACTAGTTA